TCAATCCTAAAGGATTTTGCAGGGCCCAAGAGTAAAATCTATGCAGGCAAGCAACAGTGTTTTAAATACGGTAACTAGAAAAAAAGCACTGATGTGCTGCTGCCTCATGTGCAGAAAAGGAGCATGAGTGCTGGAACTGCAGGAAGTTGCATACAAGACTGTCTACACTGGAAGAAAACGTTAGCCAAAATGTTTTTTTTCCTTTTAATTTAGTACTTCTTAAAGATTTGATAACAACATTTCCAGAGGGTTTTCCTGGATAGTTTAAACCAAGTTTAACTGGATGATATTCTATCCTAAAATCTTATTTTAGACTAGAGATCATACATTGGTCAAAACAGAAAAAGTTGGTTAAAACAGGTTAGAAATCAAACGTAAGCATTTGAGAGCCCATTGAAGTGGACAAATGCTGGATCAAGGCAGCAAAACCAATGCATTTTTAAAAATTTGGAGCATCAGTCTCCAATGTTTGTATTTCTGTAATAGTAAATCCTGGACTGGATATCTCAAAGCAAAAGAAATGAGGATCAAGGAAATGATCCTTAAGTTTTACCATTCAGTTAGTGGCCCTCACCCTACTATAGACTACAGTCACTGTGTCATCTCCACTGCACACAGCCAGTTTGGCTGTAAGCAGGACCAACTTCAGTGGAGTTCTCATTTTCGTGAGTTTCATCTCCTCCATTTCATCTTGACTTTCATGTTTTAGAGTGGATCACTCGATCTTGAGCTTCCCAAGCATTCTTTTGGATCAAATGATAAAGTTTATGCATTGCAGGTTCGGAGTTGGAACAAATGTCAGTTTCTAGAATTAATCTTGTAACTTGACTGAATTCCCTAGCTTCTACCTCAGACCTGAGATAGATTTAGTTTCAGATCCTTGATGCATAAATGGTACTGGTTGTATTAGGTCAGACCAGGGGTCTGTCTGGCTCAATGTCCTGCTCAGACAGTGGCTAATAAAAGATGCTGAGGGAAGAATATTAGATTATATGAGATGATGATACTTCCCTAGTACTCTCTAGGTCTCAGCAATCTGCAGCTCAGTGATTTTCTGGCAAAGAGGTGATATCTTTATATATGAATAGTGTTAGTGGCTTTTGCTTCCATGAGTTTGTCTAATTATTTTTGAACCCCTGTAAATGTTTGGCATCCTTAACTTCCTCTGGTAATAAGGCATCCACAGTTTATTTATGTGTTAGGAGGAAAAGTACCTCCTTTGGTTTGCTTTAACCTGCCCACCTGATGATTTCATCTGGTTTTGCCTACCTCTTGTATCTTGAGCGATACTCTTCCTTCCCCTGAAGTTTGTGATTTTATAGATATTTTTCGTACTTCATTTCAGTTGTCCCTTTTCCAAGGGACTGAAGAGTCCTTATTTATTTAGTCGTTCCTCAGTATATAAGCTCTTCCATACCTTTGATCATCTATGCAGCATTTCTTTGTACTTTTTCCAGTCTTACTGTATGCTTTTTGAGTTGCGAGGGGGCACATGGAGTAGAACTCTGTTCAGGATGCAAGAGATGGATATGATATGGGTTTATATGGTAGCATAATAGTGTTCTCAGTTTTGTTTGGTGTTCCTTTCCTCATAATTCCTAATGCTCGCTTTGCTTTCTTTATTATATTTTACTGATGTTTTCATAGAAAAATCTATTACAGCTATAGCTATAAGGTCTCTTTCCTGAAGGGAAATGACTTGTTCAAAGCCCATTGCTATGTAAATCCAGGATCGCATTTCTTTGCATACATGACTTTGTAGTTGTTAAATAGAATGTCTTCTGCCAATTTAATGTCTGATCATTCAGTGCTATGAGAGGATTTTTTGCATTTCTTCAGTGACTTTCATTTTTACTATTCTCCATAGCTGAGTTTCAGCAACAAACTTGAATGAAATTCATTCTCTTTTTCCAGATCACCTATAAATAGTTTAAACAGCAGAGACCATAGCACAGATCTCCGTGAGACCCCCATTTGGTGATCTCCTTCCATTGTGAAAACCATCCATTTATTGTATTTCATGTCTTTTAACTAGTTATTAACTCCATGAGAAAGTTTCCTCTTTATCCTATGTTGTCTTAGTTTCTTAAAGAGCGTTTTGAGTGACTGTGTCAAGTCTTTCTCAAATGAGAAACTGCTGATGTGAAAACGGTATTCCATGGAAAATGGACAAGTAAAATGTTGTTTAGTTCAAAATGGAGGCATTGAAAATAATGATCCATCAGCAGTACTGATGAGGAATTAATCAGGCTGTTTACTGAGCATTAAGGTGACACTGACAGAGCTCCTGAATGCTCTTCAGCTTCATATCTGCTGCAGTTGATGTTTATTTCAAGTGCTGGTCTGCAGTGACCCCCAGCTATCTCCCAAAGGGTGCATCACAGTCCCAGCACAGTCCTTTGTGCTTTTCAGCTGTCAGCATGACCGACTTTACTGGGAGGATTACAGAGACTGCAGCTGCTTCACACATTGGCAAAGAAGTCTAGAGCTTTAACATCTGGATGAATGATGGAGTTCAGTATCTGTGTGATGGAAGGAGCAGATATTACCCTTGGGATGGGGGTAGGGTCCAGGTGACAGCAACCTGATGATAACCCATGTGGTGGGCTGGTGGGATTGGAGCAGAGACAGCTGGGGATTGTTTCAAAGATTTCTTCTGCCTTGTATCCTCCTTTTAAGTTACGCTTTTTGTGGCATTTTGTGCCCAGTAGGGGACAGTGCTGGAAGGCCAGCAGCACACACATATCCTTGTGGTACCCTTGCAGAGCTGAGCAATTGCAGGTAAAACCACAACAGTAGAGAGCCACGACCCCCCTGCTGTTCTGGAGAAGGTTAAAAGAATACGCACATTATGAATATAACCACTGTAGAGGTTCCCCTGTGCTCATTTTGTCTGAGAAAGAGAAAGGGGGAAATACCTGAGATTCTTTAATAGAATCAAGAGGAAAAAGAACATCTAAAGGAGTTTTAGAAAAAGAGAGAGAAAAATTGTAGGTATTTTAAGAGGGAAAACTGAGGAATCCTGAAAAACAGAGATGTTTAAAATGTACGTGTATTTAAACTTTGCAATAGCATTTGCAGCCATTGAATGATGTTAGAGAACAGTCATGTTATAAAGCTGTAAGAGGAGATGATCCCTGCTCCCAGAGGAGGGCAGAAAGGGAATGATAGATTCAGAAGAAGGAAGCAGCTCTCCCAAGGTTAACCACAGAGCCAGATTCAAACCTATAAAACTTGAGTTTCCAGGCCTGAGTACTGCCTGCAACATTACAGTTTTCCAAGCACTTGTGAAAGGGGAAGAGTAGAAACATTGAAAATCTTGGTGAGGTGTAGCAAAAGGGAGTCAAGGGCAAGAGTCATTTATCCAGCTTTGCATAGGGGTACAGTGAAAGCACAGGACTGAGGAAGCATGGGTGGCATCACTTGCACAGAGAAGTCTAGGAAATGACTGCCTACAGCCAATGCCCCGTAGACAATAAAGTGGTAGTGGTGCTCCAAGTAGGAGGAGTCCCTAAGGAAGCTGAGTGGAGAGGTTAGCAGTTGAACTCCTTTTCTGATAGGCTATTTTATTCCAGCGACCCTTTAGTGTTTAGAGTCCTTATCCTCAATTTTCTTTGAAAGGGATGGCATTTGGCCATCACTGGGGGAGAATGCATAGGGCTGGTAGAGTTGTTCTGGTCTTGTTTGAAACATCCTTTAGAACATTTTGAAGGGTCGCTCTGATAGTGAAGATTACAGGGGAGGCGCATCGTAACACGTTGAGGGGAAGCTATGACACATTCAAAGAATACAGGATGTAAGTTGTGATAGGATCATGAAATGAGGAGACTAGGGTAAGTCCCTTGCCAAAAACATGACCTGCACTCTGCATCATGGAATAAAACAGAAGCATCAAGTGTCTTTTACATACCAGGCAATTATAACATGCACAAGAAATACAAGGGAAGTCTGCACGAGGAACCCAAAGGAAATGTTTCGTAAGAGTGGCTGAGAGAATCATGACAGAGCTCAGTAGGGACTTGGGAAGCTCAGGCACTGTGGCTTGAAGGTTTTATTAGCCAGAGTGTCAGTATTCAGTGGGCCATATGGCATCCTGTCTTGTGAGCACAGAGCGTGTGGGTTGCTGGGCCACTGTAGCCTCTTCAGGACACCTCGTGGCCCTGTCAGTCTGCCACCTGCTCTCTGCAAAGCCCCTAGGCCCTGTGTAAAAGTGTGCTGTAGCTGCCTTCTGGCCCAGGCTTACAAACTTCAAAGCAAGCCAATGAGCTCCTGTTGGCACTTATCATGTTACAGGGCACAGCTGAACTACCACCATATAAGCTTGGGTTGTAAGAACTCCTTCCTCTTTGCAGGAGGCTTTTGCTAGTCTGGGAAAGGCTTACTTTACTCAGATGATGAAAGAAATGAACCCACGTTCAGTCCCCTCAGGTCTTTTGAACTGTAACTCTATGGAGCCAATATTGGCCCTAATTGCAACCTGACTGTACCAGTCCTTTGTCCCCTCTGTGGGTATTACACTGTATGTCTGTCTTTTATTCCACCCTCACTGCAGCATGCGTATGCTTGGTATAAACCTTATGTTAGTGTATTAACAAAATTTCTATGAATCTAAACAAATATCTATCTCCCTAGTGATGGGAATCTTTAGCTCCTCTTTTGTTGCAACTCTGCCTCTCTTCAGAGTTAATCAGCCATGGACATGCTCCAGTCTTGAGTTTTCCTTCTCTTTTCTCTTCCTTTATTTGCCCTCAAGTATGAATGCTAAAGCTGGTAGTACAGTCCCAGCCTGGAATTCAAGAAACTCTTTAGCAAAGCCACAGGTGGTGCACCTGGTGCACAGGTGGTGCCATGCACCTGTGGCAGATACTGTATTTGCCAGAGGCCACTTAATACAAATTCCTACCTGGCTAGGTACTAGGGGATCTTTGGGAAGCAGCAGTGTCCTGTAAGCAAGAGTCCTTATATGCAGAATGATGATGTGATGGCTCTTCTTTTCTCAGGGCTCCGGAGAGTGATCATTTTGCCTGGGAAGAGGAGTTAGAGAGCAGCGTCTACAGCAAGGTGACAGGGAGTCAGCTGGCACATCCCAACAATCAGTTCCATTTTGCTGTGCAGCAACTTCAGCAGCAGAAAATTCAGTCTCGACAGCTGTTGGAGCAAAGCCAAGTTCGGCACCAGGTAACTAAGAAAAATCCTGTCCGGGAGGTGACAGTCCTGAGTCCTAGAAGTACAGGACCAACTCAGAGCCAGCATAAGTGGCACAGCTTCTGTGGAGGAAGTAGCTCTTCCAGCGTGTTATGACAACAGACCTAGTATTACATGAAGTGATTTTGATAATGTTTTGATGCTGTGGTTCCTATTGGCCTTTTTTACTGCATCAGCATCCTCCTCTGTTTGCCTATTGGCATGCTGCTGCTTGCTTTACTGCACCAATTTGGGGCTGATATTGGTGCATCTTTTTATAGTGCCTCAGACATCCTTATAACTGTCTGTAGTCTTCCCAGTTCTGTGTTAGTTAATCCTATCACTGGATGACATCCTCCTGCTTTTACTTGAGTTTGTCTCAGGTAATGCCTCAAGTTGGGTCATCATTGCATTTCAGTATTTCCAAACATGGGGTCTTGAAATTGTGTTGGCAGCTGTAGGTGTCTTCTGTGGCAACTGGACGCCATCAGGGCTTCATCTGAACCAAACTGGCCTCCTAAACGTCTTCAAAGGCAGTCATCAAAACAGCAGTACTTGATTTAGGAGAATCTTAATCTTTCTTTTGAAGGAATACGTTAACTTCTTTTAAGAGCCTTAAGTGTGCAGAAGACATGGTCACTGACCCTGATCCCAGGTGCAAGCTTTCCTCGCAACCTTAAAAATCTTCTCTAGGCCTCCTACACATTTTTCCATTGTTATATTTAAGATCTTTCGCTGCCTTGCACTGAGCAAACTGACACATGTATGACCCCTTGTTACAATTGCAAGGAGAAAAGGTGGTCTCAATGTCCAAGAGCTAGAGGAAATATGAAAATGAGTTTGTATTCTTGATGTGTTGGATGATTCCTAGATGCCAAGGGTGAACCACTGTGTATGGAACAGCATTTCCACTCTACCTGGGGAATCTTCCAAGGTCAGAACGAGCTCATTGATGCACTCATTACCCTCCTTTCTTATTATGGAGAAGGAGGTGTGTTCTTTCTTCTGAATGATGGCCAAAAGGCTTCCCTGCTAAGGGAAGTCTTCAGGTGAATAAATCTCCACTCAGAAGAGACTGATCTGCATTAGGAGGGATGTATTAGCTGGGCAGTCTGGCAGGGCTGGACTCCAACAAAATTTGGAGCTCTGCTCCAAAGAGCAGAGCTGACATGTAGAGGTCTGATCACCCACTCTCCCTCCTGTGAAGCAGATGAGTCATTAGTCAGGGTCCATGAGAATACTTATAGTCAGATTGCCCCCATCGTTTTCTAAAAGAGTCTTGAGGGAGAGGCACTTCCACCTTTGCTCCTCACACTCCTCTCAAAACCCTCACTCAGCCATGTGGTTTCCTTCCCCAAATTCCCCCACCTCCAGTCTGTTTGCTGCCGCTCTGAGCATGAGTTCTTCCTTTCATCTTCATCCTAGGGGCTCTGGGTGGGCAGTAGAGGCTGCTTATGAGCTCAGGGGAGGGCTGTGAGCTGGACTGTGCCTATGAGGAGGCCGTAGCTGGCCATGGAGCCTGGCTGAGCCCTCTTCTAATTGCTGACATTGAGCTGATGTTATTCTTGGCCTGGGGCAGAGCCATTACTCAGGAGTTTCTGTTAAAGTGATTCTTTGTTAAAACTCCACTCACCCCCACAAAATCCCCCTTCCCTCTCTCCCTCCCCTTCTCCCTCTGAGCCAAGCAGTTCAGAGTTACAGCATTGAGGCCATTGCCATGCTGCAGGGCTCAGGCTGCTCTAAAGTTGCCATTAATGAAGAAAGGGATTTGCTGAACATGGATGCTCTCAGACTTTCTCTAGTGAAAACCGCTTCTTAATAAAATGATTCTCTTGGGCACTTCCTTTCCCACTAGACTTTAGAACCAGGCAGACCTCCTCTTCCAGTTACAATTGTAGTCATCTTCTGTTGCCCCTCCCTGTCATTGCATTATGCTCATCTTCACCCATCTATCCCCTCTTCCCTCTCTAGTTTGTTGTCACTGACCTCTGTCTTCTGCTAGTGAGCCTTTCAGACTTCAGCCCCTTGGCTTGCCTTCACAAGAACTGCCTTCCCCTTGCTGCTGCTTGCATGCTGTCTGTCCGATATCTCCTTCCGACTGTTTTTGCTTCCGTTCCACCTTTTCGTGCTCCCGTCATCTGTCCTCTTCCCCCCTACCCTCGCCACCCCCATCAATTTAGCTTCTCCCAGCCTGCAGGGCATTACCACATTTCCTGGGCAGTGTTACCTGAGCCACCTGTCTCCCATTGTCCAGCCTCTCCCTTCTGTTCTTTCCCATGTATTGAGATATGCTTCCTCCATTGTTGTCTTATCCGATACATTGAAGTCCTTCATTCCCATCCTACCTTCTGTTTTCCTAGCTCATCTCCATTTCTGTTATAGAGCATCCTTGTGCCAGTGACACTGACCACTAATTTTGCAAAATCTTGTCAGGAAAGTATTGAAAATGTTTCTAGTGTCCTTCATCAGATTAGCAGCTGGAGATACAGGAGGAGCTAGGAGAAGGTGAGTCTCTCATTCTGTGCTCTGCAGAGCTTGAGAGCCTCAAATTCAATGCTTCTTTGTGCATCTCCTTTGTCGTTTTCCTTTTTTCATACCTTCTTTTCCCTTTGTGAAGATCTTTTCTGATACAGATCATGTTTTTCCCTGTTCTTTTTTCACCAGCAGCTTGGCATGGATGCTGGAAATAGAGAAAGCATACTAGTATTCTGGAAGTAAGATACATGGAACTGGGAGCATTCAGAGTATCGCATCAATTAGGTCTTTTATAGGAAGCCCTCATCATGGTGAGAAGGATTACATTTTGCACAATCATCGCACTAGCAGACTGGTCAGGACACAGTCAACAATTGTTACTCTGATCTAAGAAAGTGTGTTGCACAAGGCCAAAAAAATTTCTGCATCTATCTGGAAATTGCCTCTGCTTCTCCTAATACTTAAAGCTCTGCAAAGGGAAGGAGGTCTAGCAGGACAGTTTGGACATTCTATACCACCATCAGAGCCTGGCTATGAGGGGAAGGAATGTTAAGCAAAAAACAAGGGCTTGACCTCAGTGTGGGCTCCATGGGTTTGGATTCACCTTTTTTAGCTGATCCTGGATTTTTCCCAGATGATCTTAACCAGAACTAAAGGGCTACTTGGCCAGAGCACTGCTCTGGAGCTTGGGAGGCCTCAGTTTTGGTCTTGGCTGTTGTCAGACAGTTATCAGATGATTGTCAGAAAATGACCTCCCCCCTGTGTCGTCAGTTTGTCTGATTAACACTGACCCACTATATAAAATGCTTCGTAACTGTGAAAGCTTACTTCCGTCAACCAAAGAAAT